ATTTAAAAAGCTTTCGGTCTATAAGAATATAAGGAAAAAGCCTCAACTTATCGTCTTGCTTTGCACCTACCATCATCTTACAGACAGAATGGACAAAATAATATGCACGGCTGTGGATGGTGTATCTATGACCAGGGAGCACAATTTGTCATGCAAGTACATTATGAAAGAACCGTGTCTCCTATTCCCTCCAATGTTCTCACACACAGAGCAGACAACACAACCTCTTGTGATGCATTCCTTTGTGACGTCAAACTTGCTGCCTCTGGGCTACGAGGCACAGCACAGGATGTCTGAACAAAAGAGACGGAGAGAGGGAGGGCGAGAGTCGGTTTTATATCTGGAAAATGATAAAAATTCATATATTTGTGGATAAAGAAAACAGAGAGAGGAGAAAATAGATTTTTCAGTGAAGTCGAGGGGGGGGATAAAAGGGAAAGAGAGCCGAGCCTAGAGAGTCGGAAAGTGACTGCAAATAGTTGGAGTCTTACTTCCCTATAATAAGTGAAATTCTTTGCTGCTTCTCCTCCCTGAGTTTGACAGCCAGCCTTGCCCTAAGCGATGCCCACTCTGCCAGCAAAGGGGAAGAGAGGCACGGCTGCCGATCTCACTGAGACATGTGATACAGAGTCACACTGCAGCGACAGAAATCCTCAGCTTTATATTCTGCTTTCATAGAAACCTGCCTGGCGAGGCTTTCGGTGCTGCAAGATTTCCTGACACTGACTGGTTAACAAAATATAGAACTTATTGCATTTTATACTTTGACTTTGCTTAGAGTTTCACACAATCCCAGTATGCAGAGTTCTGGTAATATGTAGGTCAAAAGCTGTGCGTTACTGAGTGTTTTACATGTTATTTTAGTTATACTCCATGCAATTATACTGCATGTTATAATTGCATTCGAATGCAATTATAAGAACCTGCCACACATTTGCTTTCTTATGATTGAGCACCTTCTTCCCTGCCTGAAGCGTAAATATACCTCAGATTCATGCATGTAGAAAATATAATATCCTCATACTGACAATACTGAAGATATATGCTAGGGCTGGGCTACACGGTAATACCGGTGTAATGTTGGGCAACGATAGGAAAATGAAATATCGCGATAGAATATGGGTGAAACGCGCAGAATGAGAAGAGCGAAAG